GCTCCCGCTTTGGGGGCGGCAGGCCGGGGACGCTTTCCTCTCCCCTGTCCGGAGGTCGGCCCCGGAAACTTCTCAACGGCCTGGGGGGAAGGGGGGAGAGAGGCTATGTACACTAGTCTTCAGTGGCAGATTCCTTAGCTGTGCTATATTTAAGCTGAGCTTGGAATTGGTTTAGAAAATACTTTAATAATTTGTAACGTGAAATCGATGTAAGATTAAACTGCTAGAGGTTACTTTGTGTATTGTAGGGTACGAATTCTAGTACAGGCTGTGAAGTAGCAAGCCGTTATTTTTCCTATTAGTAAGTGCCTTTACTTTATCATCTAAGGGTAACCTTATCGCCTTTCATCAGGGCCAGATCGCCCCTGATGACTGTGCATATTTACATGAGGTACAAGATTTTATACAGGAAGTCATTCCAGATCAGCTGACTGGGAACAGGAAATAGGTCATTGCTATTTTCTTTGTCTAGGAATAACAAGCTGTTGAGCACCAGGCAATTTGTAATGACGGTCTGTAACTGCTGTTACATCCTTTTTCGCTCTGAGGTTATCGGCATCAAATTCCTTGTGTTTCCAGGATTGCTGGCCCTTGGGCAGCAGCAGTTCATAGGCACGGGCTTGCTTATAAATGAGTGGGAGGCAACTGAAAATTTTACAGTTGTCTTCCATTTTCAGCTTCTGTAGAAGGACACAAACTCGCAAACTGAATTTTTCCTTGTATGCTCTCAGATTGGGTCAGCATCAGCTTTGATTGGTGATAACATATGCTAATTTACTTGTGTTTTTAGGACAATCTGGTATTTATAGATTTAACGTGCAGTATCGGCATTGCCATTCACTGTCACTTTGGGGCTGCCAATCTCTGCATTAGATTTTGGAGTGATTTTTATCTACTCTGTAGCCAAAAAAGGGGGGATTGGGGAGGACACGAGGACACCAGTCTCCAAGCCTTTTTTTTTTTTAAAGTTTATAATGAGACAGGATTATTGACAGAAGCAACCAGTATGTATTTGTGGCATAGGGACCACATTATATATTAGTAAGCTGTTAACAAGTAGTAACTTCTGTAAGAAAATGGTGCCACTTTAAGAAATCATATGGTTAACCGGAATTCAGCTAACTTAAGTTTTCACTGTTTGCAAAAGCATGCTGTATTGTCCATAAAACACGCTGCAATTCTTTAAGTGAATTATGTCTTTACTATTGTAATGCTAAAACACTTCTGTTACTTCAGCCAGCAGTGTCAGTGGGAAATGTTGGTCAACTGGCAATAGACCTCGTGATTTCCACACTGGACATGACTAAAGTTGGCTACTTCTACACTGATTGCCTTGTGCCAATGGTTGGGAATAATCCATATGCAACTGCAGAAGAAAACTCAACGGAGCTGAGTATAAATGCTGAAGGTATGTATTGAATGCAAGCTAGATCTTAAATATTTGCCTGTAGAAAGCAGTTGTAAGAATGTTTCTCCTTTTTTTTCTTACCTTTTAGATGAAGTTCAATAATAACTTTTGTAACCAAATCTCTGACTCGCAGATAAGAATGTAAATTTACACTTTGTGGAGGAAACTTACTTTTGTTATTTTGCATAAATAGTTTGAAACATGGAACCGGTAAGAAATGTTGAATCTCAACCATATTACAGTGCTGCTGAATCTCTCTGCAGTTTTAATCCTAGATAATGTGGAAAGTGTGTCCATACCTACAGTAAAGCATGGCATGCAAGCTAAATTAGAGTATAAAAGGATATTCGTCCTGTCTTCTTCCTTCCCACCTATCTTTGCCTTTTCCTAGTGTGGAGGGTTTTTTTTTTTCTTTTTTCTACCTTCAAGTTTTCACTTCCTTTCTGTGTCTTGATCATAGCATTTCAAATTATATTGTTTTTTCCTTTTAAATCATGGAAATCTCGAGATAATCTGTCGTAATCTCTGCAAAGCTGTATAAAGAGTTTATCTGAGTCACTGCAGGAGATAGTTTTTGTTTTGTTTTTAATAAATTTTTACTTCATTCAATCCTTTGTTTTTATGCCAAGTGAAATTAGATTCAGTGAAGATGATGCACAAAAATACGTATTTTTTTACATTGTGAATTATTTCAGGCTTTTCAGTAATTTGGTAAGAGAGCTGAAAGGTTTACCTCAGATTTATGGATTGGATAAATCTGGATACTTCTAAGCTCAGATCCTTTTTTTTTTTTTTTTGTTATGCACTGTTTTATTTTCTCCTTGTAGTGTATTCATTACCTTCAAGGAAACTTGTAGTTCTGCAGATCAGATCACCTTTTATAAAGGTACGTATGTTCATTGTTCTCACTTCAGTGTTCAAGTTCAGTTGTTCTACTGGCCAGTAGTTTTCAAATGGTCTAGAAGAATTTACTCTATTATAATATCTTAAAATAAGCACAACTGAAAAAATTCGTGCTCCCTATTATGAAATAATGTCTTAACAGCAAAATATACATTTTAAAAAAAAGCAAAATGTTTTTCTGCTTAGTGATATAACATCTTCCGTAATTGATAAAATTTTAGCTAACAAAAGCTGTCTCCTACATTCATTAATGGTTGAGATTTGTTTGTTTGCTTGTTTGTTTCAAGCTCTGAAACAGCTCAGCTAATTCAGTAGAATTTAGTGAAAATATGTCCTTAGTTATTAACTGTCTTGACAAAACAATATGGTCTGTTTCCCGCCTGTTTATTTTTCTCTTCATATTTATTGTTTTTGTGTATTTGTCTTTTCTTAAATAGCTTAATTTTTGCTGTCACCCCCATTTATTTCCTGCTGTTCTCTATTCATTATATATAAACAGTTAAAATTAACTGTTAACTGTATCTTGGCTGTGATGTAAAATGGGCAGAACACCACACGAGAGTAAATTGTGTTGTAGTATTTTTGGCAGTTTAAATTGTGGGAAAATACTGTGGAATTTTATCATCCCATATTGTTCTAAAGGTTTTCCCGTTGATATTAATGGCACACAGAATGAGTGATACAGTTATTATTAATGTGGTTTTCATAATTTTTATAATTATACATATATCTTTGATTAAGTAAACAACCAGTGTCCTCTGCTTTTTAAAAATATATCTGAAGACTGAATGGATATGAAGAAAAAAAAATTTCCTCACTGCTGAACACTAAATATAACATCTAGTATTGTAGACTTGTGGCTTTTCTTAAGGGCATGAATTTTTTTTTTTTTTTTGGTCTCTCCTCCCCCCCCTCTCTCTTTGCGTAAAGAACAAGTACAGGCCATTCTGTCAAGCACTGCTTTCTTGGGTGCAAACCAGCAAATGTGCTAGAGTTATTCTTCTGTCTAGCAGCCATGCATACCAGCGCGATGATGAGCAACTTCTTGGGTATGTGTGTGTCCTTAAATGATTTGATTGTTTTTTCTGTTATTTTTGGCAAACTGGCATATATACTTAGTACTTTTTGGCAGGGTTCTTTTGCTTTACTGTGTAGGTAGATCATAAGATACTTAATATATTATTAAAATAGTGTGTTATACAGCATTAGGCTCTGAGCTTTGTTAGTCTCCTGACAATGCTGAGCAAATAATATGCCATAAGTAAATTTCTGCTTGGCCTGCACCATCAGCCTCGATTTTAACAACTTAGTTTGTTATTGCTGCAAGCGCTGTCAGGGATTAGCTGCTAACATACAGCTCACCGATTAGATTTTTAACGTTTAGTTAGAATATTTGAATTTCTTACCGCTTCTTAATTATTCTGCATTTTGGGTTTTCTTTTTTTAGTAAGGTATCTTTTTATAGGCAGTTACCAATACTTACCTGCTAGGAAAAAACTACACAGAGCTTTATTAGGTGTGCCTCCCCCCCCACCCGTTAAACAAAAGAAAAAGCATAGCTTGATGATCGAGGCCTTGATAATCTATGACTTACCAAAAAAAAAAAAAAAAAGTATTGTTCAAAATGAACAACTCTTATCACCAGGGTGTATAAATGTTCAGAGCCCTGAGGAGGTCTAGGTCTATGCATGTTCTAGATATAGTTACCATTGATTTTGCATAGAGTTTCTAGAGTGGTCAGCAGACATGGACTGAAATGAGGGAGACTGATGGTTACTTTATGTATTCCGAGTTCATCAGTTGTGGTGACTTACTCTGAATAAGTCTGATACCAGAGAGACACTAATGAGTGAAGGTAATGCATTAAGGAAATACTGAAAGACTTAACAGAAGTCTGCAGATATTTGTAGTTTAAGTTTATTACAAACATTATATCAAAGTGAAGCCCAAGCTTACTTTAACTAACTTTAATTGAATAAATTCCCATCGGAAGGAAGAATAGCCACCATTTCTTTTGTAAATCATTTTAAGAAGCCTATAACAGTTCTCCTATTTAAGTGCTTGTATATTTGATACCCTCTTTTTAGATGCCCAAATTGGCACGTATCTTGAATACTCAGGGGGAAAAATAATGGCTGAGCTTTTTTAATGCTTCTGATGCAGTGGTGATTTCTGAAGGAAGAAATTTATCTAACTTGCTTCAGATTCAAGTGTATTTTTGCAAAATGTATCATTTGGTTATATGTGTGGCAGAAAGTTGAACAGTACTTGATGCATGCAGCTCCTTTCCACCGCAAGTAATAACATCTATGTTGTCTTGTTTTCTCACACTGAACGTATTCTTGATTTGTTCCTAGAACTCCTCTACGCTACCTACTCACACCTGCTCTTGAGAAATCGGTGGAAGGCCTTATGCAAGGGTTAAAATGGAAAGAAATGGAAAAAGTAGCAGCTTACCCTGGAATAAGTGATACAGAGAAAGTTCTACATATACCAGGAGGTGGCATCACAAAACTATTGTTTACTGAGTGGTGAGTGAGCTGCATACAGAAACATATGTCTTGTTTTTAGTACATAGGTGAAATTGTTTTTTTAAGCTACTGATTCACTGGTAGGAGGCATAGGTGGATTTTGTAACATCGTCTCTCTTAGAAATACTTCCAAGCTCTGTTTTGCTTGTCTTTATGTTTATCCATTCAAGTGGAAGACTTGCTTTTAAACGGTGTGTCACACATTTTTATTTGCTGCTGTTTAAGTCTAGAGCTGCATCCCAAGTATCTCTTTATTCTGCCTCTTTTTGGTAACTTCTTCCATTTATTTGAAGTATCTTCATTTGATGATTAGAATGTTATTGTGTAGGTCATATTTTGATTTTTCAAAAAGATTTGGGCAAAAAATGTTCAGAAGCATTGGTTTTGGTTGAATGAGTTAGGTTGATGGGCACATGCTTTGATTTACTAATACTGCAAACTCATGGATTTCCTTCTTCTTCCCCCTCTCCGCTGGCCTTTTGAGGTAAACTGCACCTTTTCATTTGCTTTCAGATTGGGATAAACTTAAAATGTTCCATCTGAGATTAAAGCCTTTTAATTATGTCAAATCAGGTGTATTTAAGAATCCATGTGTTAAGCTTGATTATCTAATGTATTAGCCCTCCCTTCACTGACCAGTTAGATTCTAACTTACTTTTTTTTGTCCCTCTTTTTTTCTTTCCCTGTATTAATAACTATAATTATCAGTGAACTTCTTCAGCTTCTAAGTATCAGCTGTCTTCTACTCTGCCTGCCTGAATTTTCCTTCTCCATAATCTACTGTTGACTTCTTAAAGCGGGAATTTTATAAGTAAAGTAGTGGTATGCAGGCTGCAAAACCAATTTTTGAAATACAGTGAAAGATGTTCCTTGTATCGAAGGGTCTGTGTAAGTGCCTCAACAAGAGGACAAAAATGCAAACTAAGTGCATAAGCAATGCACTGAGTAACTCTTCCAAAGTCTGGGATTCCTGGCGCAGAAAGTCAAGAACAAACCCAAGACTGAGAAAACATGAAGCGTGCAAACACAACCAAGTGAAGCTGGGTGGTGTTGTGGGGGGTTGGTTGGTTTGTTTGTTTTTAGTAAGCCTTATGCAGATTGTTGTGCTTAATTCATAAATATCATTGTTCTGGGTTAATTAAAAAAAAAAAAAAAGACTCTGCCTTTTTTAATTGCAGTTGTTCAGAAGGAATCCAAATGGCAGTTCTTCTGAAATTCTGCTCTGAAGGCGACAATATCCCTGATGCATTTGCCCTTGTTAACTATCTTAATGAATGGCTCCAGCTAATTAAAAATGAAGTAAGTGCTGTTTGATCTAGAGTTCTTGCTTTCTTATTTTATGTCAGTTATTTTCATTTTTGGTTGAATTTAGAACCTTAGAAATGTTTAGCTATATTCTGCAATTTTAGACTATCTTTTATGGGTTGGGTTCACTTTGGCCTTTGGTCACAAGGATAGTGCCAAATATATTTTGATTACATTATATGTTATATTTTTTACGCTTTCCTAGCTTAAAACATGCAATCCAAAAATATAATAAAAATATAATATGACTAAAGCCATTCTGGGAATTCACAAGAGAAAAAACTAACCTCCTTGTTTGACAGGCGTGGAAGAAGTTGTCTGAAGGTTTGAAATGGTTTGATCTTACAGTAGTTTTCTCTAAAGCAATCAATAATTGGATAGACACTTGAAAGGCTGTCTATTGTTTTAATACATATGCCAGACATAGAACTATATTAAACTGCATTACAGTCTTAAAGCTTATAAAGAATTACTCTGTTCCTGTTGCAGAGCAGCAATTCTACAGCTATTTCTTCACAGTGGAAAATACCCAGTTCTTGGCGCTTACTTTTTGGCAGTGGTCTTCCACCTGCACTCTTCTGATTAGTGTCGGATTTTTTGTAAGTCAGCTGTATACATGTAACATCCCTTGAGAAGATGATTGCCTAGTAGTTGCCAAGCGGCAGCATCTTAATATCTTGTGTACGTAAATATTCTTTATTTAAGAAGCAAATTCCTTTTGCATATGTGGATAGCTGAAGAAATTAGATTAACTTTCACTTATTGACCAAAGAAATATGTTTTGTACAGTTGTTTATGGGAATACTGTTGACTTTTTTTCCTAATAAAAATATTTGGAAAAAAAACTTTTTCTGTGGTTACGTATTATTGCCATGGAAAAGATTTCAGTGCCCTTTTTGATAACAGCTGAGAACTTGAGATTGATATGCAGGTATAGATCTTTTTATGAAGATGAAACACTATTTTTCCTTGTCGACTTTGAATCTCCTTATATCATTAGGAGGGCTTTGGAAAAAAAGCTAAGTGAAAACTCAAAGGTAATTTTGTTCTGCTTTCTTTTCCTGATTGCTGCTGTGGTAGTTTCAACTGGGAGGCCGCAAGAGGAATAAGCTGTTCCATCTCTTCTGGTGTACTTCCACTGTGTTAATTTCCATTTGCCTTTCAGCAGCTGCAGAAATGCCAAACCTAAAGCTTTCTAGGTAGATAAGCCTTATTAGAAACTAATCTGAGCATGAATAGAGTGTACTAAGACTTAATGGAAGTAAAAAATTGCCCTGACAGCAGGCAGTCTGGTATCTGTGTATTTTATAAGCTTAGTCTGAAATACTAGTTGTATGATAAGTAATTCATGTGTTTAATGTCTGTAATGGTACTTGTTGAATGAATAAGCTTCATGTTTGATCTTGTTAAAAGTGCCTGATCACATCAGTTTATGTAAAAGTAATTTTAAATCTAGAATTTCTAGATTCTAACTTGTAATAGATGAGACATATGCAGGTTGTAATTTTAAATATTTAGTCTGCTAAATAGATTGGGGTGGGGGGGGGGGATATTGTCCTACCAGTAGAGGTTTAGTAGTTGGATTTGCTTGAAAACTTTTGCCTGTTCATAGGAGAAGAGTAGTCCAACTACTTGAAGAATAATCCAACTGCTTGATGAACATGACTGGTCATCCAAAGGATGCAGCATTGTTTCTCTCTTCAGGTTATTGGAAGCTTATAAATGAAGTGAGAATCACAGTGAATACCTGTAACAGTTGACTAATATTTGAAAGAATATTCAATTATTCCTTTACCACAAAACATTGAGAAATCAAAGTGTTTTGCAGTCTCAAGTCTGCTTTGCAGCTTGGAGAACGGGTAGGTGGAGCAAGTGCTTCAACTAATTATATACTGAAATACTTCCAAATAGTGTCTTGAATTTAGACAGTCTCAAGTTAAATACAGTACTTGTGTAGGTCCCAAACCTAGGTAGGTAATGTAAGCCTGAACTAATTGCTTCTGGCATTAGGAGAACTGGAAAGGCTTTGTGTTTACTTAATGACGTCTGCAGGGATTTTTGTTTTGTTGTTTGTTTGTTTTGGTAAAGGTTTGAATTGTACAGCACTGATGCTGCTTAACGCTAAATGCCGTGCTAGAAATGTAAAGTAATACTTTGTTCATATTAAGTAGCTTCTACAGTACCTACAGCATGCAGGTACTGTTTCATGGTATAAAAAAGTTGCCTGCTCCAAGCCATGAACTGATGTGGCTATGACTGTGAATGCAACGAAACTTCTCTGAACAAAGAAGCGACTAGTGTAGAACTGGCATTCAACCAGAAGATGAACCAAGTAATGTAACTAAAAGGATCGCAGCATTATTCTGAGCCTAAAGATTCATTTTAGCTTATGATCTTATGATTGTTTCCCAGGAAACTTGAGTGGATCTGTTTGGGGTCTTTTTGGTTGAAGTTTGTTTGTTTTTTTCCCCTCAACTGTAGGCACATGGAAGGCTAAGCCATTGTGCAGCCTACCTTTTTTTTATATCCCACCAGGATGATTTATCATTCTTGCAAATACCGTTCATTCAAATTTTACGTTTTTAGAAAAGGACTAATGACCTAAATGTTCTTCAAATGCCAGCCTTTATTTTAATAGATTCTCAGATTCTCAGTGAATGTAATACATCACCTGTAACTGAACAGTAGTGGGCATGGAAAGATTTGGTAATTATTATGAGAGTGTAAACTAATGCTGTACCCTAGTTTGGAATGCTGAATCTTCCAAGCTGGTTGAAAACTTTCACCTTGGGCCAGTAAATACTTAGGGCACCTCTTAACTTTAAGCGCATAGTCCTATGTAACTTAAAAAAGCTACTTCTGTGTTCTCATACACTGTTGAAGCTGGAACTGAGTATTCATCCTCTTAGACGGTTAAATTCTAAGCAAGGAAGTCAGAAATTAGGAGGCTGACTGTGGACCTGGTTTGGGGTTTGGACCTGAAAGCCAGCAGGGTGTATCAGTTTACCAGTAAAATACAATGGGTCAGCTTTTGATCTCAGAATGAAGCTACTGGGGAGATTCAGGGAAGGTCATTCATGCACTGCAGCCCTGTGTGTGCTCTGCACACTGCAGCTTCTGTAGCTCTCTTGCAATGACTTTGTTTGGATTGAGCCATAGAATGGGAGCTTTGCTGACATACTGGATGAGTTATGCTGGGTCAAGAAAGAGTAACTTAGCAATTTGAACATACTCAATGAGTTATGCTGGGTCAAGAAAGAGTAGCTTAGCAATTTGATGAGTTCTTGGAACATAAGCTCTTGTCATTTTAGAAGAGTGGATGGATGTGAGTAAGAGGAACACCTTGAACTGACAGCCATTTTATAGAGTGACTGGTGTTTTTTAAAAACCACACCTAATTGTGGAATTCTGTTGGAATCCTTAGACAAACCAACATAATGGGGATGCCTGTTAAAATCGTGAGCGTTCATGAGATGACAATTATTCTTCAAAAAGAGCAGAATGAATGCACTAAGGCTTTGCTTTATAAAAGAGGGGCTGGGGTGCAGGGGATCACTTGGGCTATTTGCTTGCAACTCTTAAGTGAGGGCTCTGATTTTTGCAGGTTGTGAACATGAGTCTGTATAACTTTGTAACAGCTGTTGCATTGCCATTAGTACCCTTTCAACGCTAACCTCTGTATTACCTTAGTTTAGGCCTTTGTACTAGACTAGCATGGGAATATACCTGCGTTTGTGCAGGGGTTAGATGATCACTACTACAATGACTTTTAAGAATAAACCCTGAAGGTATGTCTTTTATCATATTAGCTTTCAAAATGCTGAACAGTACCCATCAAAGAACCAACTCTTGGACCACGGTTTGCATGTTGCTTATACAATGAGTACTGCTGTTTGAAAATAGTTATATATGCATTTAAGATGCTTAATTATTTTTTTTTCTAACCATCATATAACATTCCTAGTTGGGGGAAAAAAGGGGGAATTATCAACAGACACAAGGTTTTAAATTTTTTTTTTTTGAGTAGGATGATTGTATAAGCGTTACGTATTAGTTGGCTCTGTTTAACTACTTAACTCTTTGGATATCGAATTAACTGCTTCATTTAGGCCCTATTCATAACTATCCTTCTTCTAACATCTGTGAACTTGAGCCACGCTGCCGTAAAACCAATAAGCTTACTAACGATCTCTGCCTCCAAATTCGTTTTCTGTATGATACTCAGTACTGCAAACGTGTTTTGAGAGCGTACGTGTTGCATTAGGGGGTTCACTTGTATAAAGCTTTGGTGTTTGAATAACTTGTTACATACAAATAGCAAGCCCAAATAGGGTTCTGTAACGTAGGCATGTAATTTTGGTCAAGATCTAAAACATACTGTGTTGAAGCAAAATATTCAAGGTACTAAACAAAACTTGATTGACTCCTGGGCTTTTTAAATAATGCATTAGAAAAATCTTAAGGGAGTTCTATTAGCTGAATTAAAACATCGTTTGGGCAACGAGCACCGTTGCTTGAGTACCTACATCATCAGGTGGGAAAAGTCTTGTACTAATTGGCTGTATTAATCACAGTGGAGTCTGATGTATGCAGAGTAGTATTTCAGAAGCTGCAGTTAAGGTATTTAGTTGCAAACTGTATTCATCAAAATCAAAGCAGTTTTGATAATAGATTAAATTTCACGGGGAATTAAGAAGGCTTGAAACAAGGAGAAGCAGTGATAAAAGGCTAGAGGTGGGAAAACAAGAATTCCGAGGCGGCAGCAAGGGAGTGCTTGGCAACCACACCACAGCCCTCAAGCGTCCCAGATTTTTCTAAGGCGTGAGAGTTGTTTTTTCTCTCCTTGTAATGATTACAGATAAAAGGTGCAATTTCTTATGCAAACATTCTCTCAAATAGCTAAGACACGTGTATGAGATTTACAACTAGCTATTTTAAAGCAGCTGGACTGCTTGAGGAAACTGAGATGAGCTGCACAAATGCATAGTTTTAAAAAAAAAAAAAAAGCGTAGAGGCCGATGTTACAAAATGAGTGCTTTGAAGATGATTTTAGTACTAAGGAAGATTCTTGCATTTACTGCTTAGTTTTCTGCATTACTTTTTTTTGCTTAGGAAGTCAATACTAGGTGGTCGTTTCTGTTGTTGGCCTTTTAACTAAACCAGTGCTTATGTTCCAGAGATCTTGGGAAAATGTATTTGTTGGCTACCGATGGAATACATAACTTTCTTTTGAGAACAAAGCATTAAGAGTTTTTAGAGCGAGTATCTTAAAAAATGTAATTCTTTCAATTTGTTTCGAATGCAATAATGCAACCAAGCCAAACAAGATTCTTTAAGGCTCTGTGAGCGTTTCTAAACGTAGATTTACTGGTAGTCCCTTGTGATTTGTGTGCTCAAAGGCAGGGTAGGCAGATGGCCAGATAATTTCAGTACACACTGCACTAAAAATCCGCTGTGGAGGTTAACAGAAATTGAGACTGAAATCTTGGCTTCAGAGAAGACATCATTTCCCCACCAACTGCTGTTCCTTCTATAGTTGCATCTGTTATACATCTGAAGAAAATCTATTTATTTGTGCTCCAGCTCCAAGAATATAAAATTGTGCATGAAGGCATCAGGTAAGTTCCTATTTACATAGGGACAGCATTAGTAAGGAAACAGCGGGGCTTGAATGAATTTTAACCTAAAAGCAGCATCATGTAGTTTATATGCAACTAACTAATAGCTAGAATGAATTTCCCCCTTAACCCCTTTTAGTTTCTTAACCAATGAATTTGAGGGGGAAAAAAAAGACAATAGGAAATACAAAATTATATTAAGATTTTTTTTTTGGTCGCATTCTCTGCTGTCATTTGGTTGACATACCTTTAATCTATGCTAGTTATATGCCATTTTCCACTACTGGAATCCCTCTTCAGCTCTTAACCGAAACTGTAAGGCATAAAATTTAGTATTTTGAGCAATTAAAAGGCTAAATGTTATCATTTAGAGCTCTTCTAAAATTCTCCAGCCTCAGAGAGAGATGTCTCAGAAGTCCTGACCTCCATGTTCAAAATTGCATCAGCCTTCTCATCTCCCTAGTTTGTCTGACAGCAACCTAAGTGTAATGCAGAAGCCTGTCTCTCCAGATTGCAGAGATCCTCGGAATGGGTGAGTTAAACTGACGCGTTTTCCAGTTAGGAGTTTCTGTATATGAGAATATTATCCTTCTGTATTGAACTGTCTAGTTTTAATTGGTGAGCTAATTTGGCTTATGTTAATTAGAGGTTTGCAGTTATAAAAATGATTTTTCTAGCTGTAAATATCTCCAAATCAGGCAGAAGTAGTAAACAATAGATAGCTATACTACAGAAATGTCCGTTCTAATTCATGGTAGTGAGGATGAAGTCCCGACCATTCCAGGCAGGCCACAAACAATTTTTATTATGTTATGAAAAATAAGGTGCAAAATGAATCCTGTGGCACAAAAAATCTGTTAAGATTCCCCAGGGAAGTGGTCAGTAATTAAAAGAAGATTATTTAAGGATCTAAATTGTGGTATCTACTGTCTGATGTTGTAACTACAACTAAGCATTTATCTGAAACCCTCACAACAGAGGCTAGGTCATGGCAAAGATGACTCCAAAAATGCAATCTGAGACACTTTCAAAATGACACAATCTGGCAATCTAGGATTTTCTTGGAGTCTAAAAACTAACTAATAAAATAAAGCAAGCTGTGAGATAAAAATATGTTTTACAGACATAAATATACTGATGCTATTCCTCAAATCTTGTCAAGTACTGTAAGCAGGAGAAGACATGCAGCAAATCTGGTTCTTCATCAGAAACTTAACATGGAGTAGAATGGTGAGTATGATTAAAATTTTGGGAAGTAGCTATTTGCTTTCAAAAATACACTGTAGGAACTCTGTAGGAACCACTTACCCCCTTGTGAGTGACCTTGAAGGTTGGCGCTGTGCTAAGCCAGGTAAAAATTATCTCCAGTTTACTTTACTCTCCCTCACTCCCCTAGACTTCTTAAGTCACTGCCTAATGGGTATGTAGGTTTAGCTAACTAAATTCCAGTCCTGAACACCGACTCATGCATGTTGATTTTTGAACTTAAAATTTGTTAAAACAGATGTCAAGTGTGGTAACAGATTTGAAAAAATCTTGCTGAGGTTGGTACTCTCATTACACTTCATAATATAGTCAGGGCTATGATAAAACTGTACTAGACCCCAGCAAGACATGCACAGCTGTGGAGAGAAGCAAGGATGTGAGTGTGGTTTTTTTTTTTTTTTTTTTTCCTGAATAAGCAGTAAAATATCTTTCCTACCTCTTAAGTTACTATGAGGTGTATGCAGAAAGAGCACAAATGAATTACTGAAGACAAAAAAGATAGTGTTGTCATTTGCCTCACAGCATGTTTAGCTTTTTTTAAAATAATGATAATAATGGAGTACTTCTTCAACTGAGGAACTGCAGAGTAAAATTTCAAGGAGAAGGAAAGGTAAGCAATGGGTTCTAAAGGGGGAAGAAAAAGCTTTTTTCTTGCCTGGGGAAAAGATAGACTCTTTCACTCCTGGATGCTGCAAGTAGCTCTCGGCCCTTTCAGTCCCCCCTAGGAAGAAGGGGATTAAAAAGCAGGCTTGATCGCGGAGCGTCCCGTTCCCGCTGCAGCGCCTGGCCGCAGCCCCCGCCGCCACATCGCCCTCAGGCCCGCGGCAGCAAGGCCAACCGCTGCATCTACGTTTGCTGCCTATGCTTTTGCCTACCAAGACGTGCTGCAGTGCAAGGTAGTGGTTTTGTCCTTGGGTCACTAATAGGGCTGGTAAAAGCTGTAAACACGCGCCTTGTTGCAAAATTTCTCTTGAAGCTGGGAAAAACTCCCAGGCGGGTAGGTTAGCCATAATCCACAGTTTTTCAGCTGGAAATCTGCAAGTCAGTCATTCTGCCCCGATTTTTTTCAGGGCTGTGACTGGAAACTGCAGCAGAAACTGCTGCAGTTAGTAGAGAAACTGTCTCTTCTAATGCAGCCTCTCAACTTTCTACATCTTTTAAAACACATTTTCAGAGTAGTAGTCACGAATTCTAGCCTTGTGTAAAAACAGCACACAGAAACACCAACCCTTCAGAACCTCCTGGGCCAGCAAGCCCAGACTCCTACTGCTGCAAGCCCTGTTAGTCTGACAAAGCTCTGTTTCTGAAAATGCTATTTCTCTGTCCCTTTACTCCTCGTGAGAGACTGTTCATGACGTTAGCCTGAAGTAAAATTCAGTCTTGGCAGTTCTGGGGAGGGAGGCCATTTAAAAAAAAAAAAAAAAACCCTCTTGAAGAGCAAGGACAGCAGCATTTTGAAAAGAGGCCACTGTGGGACTAGGGCCAAAATACACTTAACTATCTATACTTAAAACCACACTACAAGATATAGTTGCATAGCTGATAGCTACAATTATCTGTGAGAGCAGCAGGCAAAATAAAGTTTGCATACACTTCCAGCAGTCTTACACCTTATGCATACTTCTGATTTAAAGAGGACAAACACAGTGATAGTATTATTCATGTGAAGTTCAAAGGTATTAATGTCTGAAAGCTGTATCCAGAAGCACGTGAAGTGGTATAAACAGGCTCCATTCCTGTATTCTGCAACACTGGAGTGTACTTCACTGGTTTTGGCCAGATCTTGATCTCTTGGCCTAAATATGCCTGGTCTCATAGCTATGAAGGGTCTTATAGCTGTGAAGACAGACTTGAAAATGAAAGCTGAAGCAAGTTGTAATAGTTTTTTTTTCCTGATCTAATGTAGATGATGAACTATCCTAGTCAGCTAAAGAAATATTTAAAATACTTGGACAAGCCAGGTGCGGGTGATCTAGACTATTTTGAGATGGTGCCAAGCACCTATTTAACTCAAATAATGGCATAAAATATTCTTCTGCTTCAGCTTCACATTCAAGGTAAACACAATTCTGGACAGTGTTGCTTTCATGAATCAGTCTAAAAACTAAGTTTTATTAATATTTCAAACTGCTTATTTCAGCAGAAATACCCTTAAAGCGTGGAAGACAGGAGCATGGGACTATTAAGTGTTTTCTTCTCCCTACCTTCAGCAACATTTAACTAACTAACTGTATCATTTATACAAAACCCTGCCCCCCCACACACACAAAATGCAAAGTACCGTTATAAAGCAAACTCCACAGTACACTAATTTAGACATTCATATTAATTTTGTGGTGAATTAAATATTTATTTGAAATTGTCAGAGAACTTCAATGCAGAATTTAAATGAACTCTGTTGTAGAATATACGGGGCTCAGAGCCCTGTTGAGTTCATTAAACTAGCTCCTTAAACAGTATTCCAGTTCACACCTTTCCAGTCCAGTCATTCAAAAATGCATCAGGGAAAAGAGCTGATCATGGATTTATGATGTGAAATAAAACATTACATAGAACACTCTGATGGCATAATCTGAAAACCATTTAATTAAAGACTCCTTTGACTGTGAGCTTTTCACCAGGCCCTTACTATCTATTAATTATGTTTGACTGGGTATTGAAATGCCAGATTTCCTGTCTTTCCTTCCTTTAAAGCATCAATGATAATGAAACACATTCTCTTCAGAGTTACTGTTTTGTGCATATTTTATAGCAAACATTAGAAGGGCTACCAAACCAACAAGTTAGATGAATGAAGAAATACTCATCAGTGGTGTATTACAAAAGAAGTGTGGAAACGTTCCTAGCTGAGACTATGCTACTTAACAGCAAATTCATGGAAGTGTTTGCATGAAGCCTGTTTTATGCAGAATATTTTACCATCTTCCAATGAGAGAGGTAATGAGGAAGCCTTTAGGTAAAATACTTTTCTCCCCCCCCCACCCTGAGAGTCTCTTAATATTTTCTTGCTAACATAATGCGCACACAACAGCACGTTGTCAATTTAAAAAAATATTTAATGCTGCCAAAAACATATAAAAATACAGTAAGAATGGCAGTACAAAACAAAGTATTTTCTAATTTATTTCTTTTACATCTTTCTACATTAATACAGGTATTATAAAAACACAAGACAGCAAAGTATTTTGTTTTGCAAAGTAACATGCTGGTGGTATTCTTCATCCCCTGGATGTAGTTTACGCTGTAAACAGATAATTGAGGTCTTCCTGGTATTTAACAGACCTCACTTTTGTTCCCGAAGAGGGGTTCATGTCTCACTTTGCATGTCAATAATTTGCAGTTTATAGCTGCAGAGTATTCACAAGTCTTGAAGGCTTAGGTGTCAGTCAGTCTCGGCCTACGACATACAACGCAAAAGAAAGTCACCGATTCAGTACACAGCACAAAAGAAAAATAAGAACAGACAATGGGTTTGCAACTCACTATAAAACACAAAGCAGCTTCTCATGCATTCACTGTGGTAACTACTGATTAATTGTTATGTGTAGCAAGCACTCTTGGAAAGCCATTGCTTTTTCAGACGGTATTTCCATAGTATAATGTAAGGCGCACACTTGCTGGAGAGCTTCAAGTATAGGTCTCAGTCCAGCAAGCCATTACTCCTGCATCTAAGCATAAGCACTGCAGAAATCTTCTTCAACCTTCGCAAGAATACAAAAGTGGGAATACATCTCAAAATCCTAACACCACCTTTCATGGCTTTGTAGGCCAATCCTGGCACAGTGAAATGGAAATAAATGTTTCTAAGCAAATTTTTCTTGTACTGAGGAAGACATTCCAACATTGAACATTCTGTTCTTAGGAAAGGTTAGGCTATACTCAGGAACACATAAAAAGACCTTGGTATTTACAGCACCAAAATATCCAGGGAACTACAAGCTAAATGCTTGAAAGTTCTACAAACACTACCTCGATTTATAGCAGGTTTCTTTAAGTTAAAGCACTAAAGAATTATTCCAAACATTAATCCTTCCAATTTAAATAAAGACTCAGACAGAGGTGCAATTTTGAACATATTTATTTCTAGTACATAAAAATGAAAGACTGATCTAAAAGTTTGAGGGGGGGGAAATACGAAGACTACTGTGTAATATCTCAGTTTTGCAAATTTATCATAGGACTTAAGCTACTTGACTCTGAAGAAGAGTTCCTCTTCTGTCATTGTGAACTTCTTGCGCAGTCAAGTCTTAGGTTAAACTACAATGCCAAACAGCAAGCTGAGTAATCTGGTTAACATTCATTAAGCTTAAAGCTAACCAGGTTTTTTGACCCCTGGCAGAGTTCACTCCCAGTCACACATACATGCACACACTTACACTTTCTCTATTCAATTGAATATAGATTGATTAAGTAAACAGACCCCCACTGAAGACTTAATGAAATTAGGTAGGTTTCACTTGCAACATCTTACTTCCATAAAATAAACCTGTAATTTTTCCAAAATGCTATTTCACAGAATTCAGGTATCTTGATACATTTGGAGAAAAGTACAGAATAACAGAAGTACCTTCACACTAAGTAGACTATTCCTGCATGAAGAATATAATCAAACAGAAAACCTAAAGGACTAATTCCAAACCTTGCAAATCACTTGCTACTAAGGTCCAAATGTTTCTTAGTGGTGTCTTTGTGAAATGTGCACGATCAGTACAAATGTTCATCTGACTGTCAAAGCATGACCTGATCAAATTCTAAGAAGTCTGCTATGCATCAAATCCTTTGATTGGTACAATATTTCCAAAATGGGTGGGGAGTAGAGGGTGGAAGTCACAAAGATTTTGAATCGTAAATTCAACAGCATTTCAGAAGCGGCATAGTACCAGTCCACAGCTTGCCAGGAATTGTGAAGTTTCCCCTTGCTTTTACAGTTTAAGGAGCTCCTAAAATCATAGGTCTCTTGAACTGACAGGCCTTCATTTTGACTCACATCTGTTCTTACTTAACATCCAAGCTGTTTAAAAGTTTAAACTGCCATAAGTTTAAATCCTACAGAATAACAATACTACACAGCTCAGTTTGCAATTGAAAAAAAACAAAAAAAAACCCTCAAACTGTTTGGTTTTTTTTTTTTTTTTTGAAGCACTGAACGCAAGAGGGCAAATTTGTCCTACCGATGGTCCAAAAAATAGGGTTTCATCCAAATCATCTCCTGGAACATGCTAAGAAATATAATGCTTACTTTCCCTTCCTACTCCTATACCGCAGTGTTCAAAACAGTTTTGTGCAACACTTCTATTGATTTGTGGTTCTGAAGTTATTAACAATAAGACTTTGAAGATACACTTAATGACATAGCCAAAGCAAAATCTTGAATATTAACTGTTTAATATGCAAGCCCTACTTTATCGTATCAAGAAGGTAAGAATGTGAGATGATATGAGGATCCCCCACCCCCCCTTCCCCCATCCTCAAGAAAAGAAAAATGCCTGCTCAGAGAACAAAAAAGCAAAAATCTAGAAAAAAAAATCAAGGGGGGGGGGAAGGGGAAACAACAACAACAACAAAAAAAATCAAGTTTTGACTTGACAAAACACAATTAGATTTTAATGTCAGTAGGATTTTTTCCTGGTGGCCCAGGAAAATCCCTTTCATGCAGACAAAGAAAATAAATGACAGTGTGATTTCAGTCAAGTTTTATCTTGCATTTTTTCCTTAGTTTCTTTTAAGCATTTAGAACAAAATCTGCAATATTTCTTTGTTATAAAAGCACTCTATTATATTCCATGTTTTTTATAACCAAAATAACTTTTATAAGGCACATACATTTATAGTGGATATCAGTTGAGCTGATAACCTCAGGCTTCACAATTAAAAAAAAGAATCTTCTATCAGCCTCGTTTACTAAAAATTATCATTGTTGTTAACACTGCAACCTGTCTTAAAATCCTTCGGCTGCCTACCCTTTCTGTGTTATAGCAATTAGTAAGTCATGTTCCTACTGATCAACCATGGAGTTACGATAATGTGACAGCACAAATTATTATTTTTTTTAAAAACTGAATAAGGTTTCCAGAACTCAGAACTGTATCTCCTGAGAAACTGCATTTGTCTTCTCTTTTTTTTCTCCTCTTCTTTATCTGGACACTTACACAGTTGTTTATTATATAAACAGTTTAGTCTAAAATAGTATTTGAAATTCTCATTTCACAATAGCTAAGTGTATACTAAACTTAGCTTTGTGCAGTAAATGTCAGACTATTTGGGCCCGTGCCTGGCATGTTACGACTGAGCTTGAAAGTACTGGCAACTTCTCAAGTTAACTTCTTTGGATGGAAGAGCAAGTAAGTATCTAGCTCTGAATACTTTTCAGTAGTAAAATCCAAGAAGTGCTTTACAAAAGGACCCCCCCCACACCCCAGATCAGGCTAGGTAAATTGAGAAAATGACTTTTCCAATGTCATCCAACCAGACAAAGGCTGAATAAATAAAATCCAGGTTTCACACTGCAGTCTAATAGTAGAAGTTACTAAGATTCAATGTGAATGATAGCAAGCTAGATGCAGCCACATACAATCTCCCTGCTCAAAGAGAAGGGGTGAAAGTGGTTTGTGTTGAAGTACCATCGAGAAAATGTTATTGTCCATGTAGTGCAAGGGGTGTGCTTGATAATTAAAGTGATCTTAGCCTAAGTATTCCCAAAATACTGATCATTAAGTGTTTTACTATCATGCCTCTTCAGTACAGAGGCAGAGGACTTGAAAAGCAGTTTAGGTGCGTCTCCTTCACTTCATGAAGTTGTGGATGTAGCTAATAGAACGGAAAATACTGACTACAAGAGAATATTACCAACATTTGTTTTCAATTTAAAACCACCCTTGGAAGTCAGACTTAAGTCTTCTTTGATGTACTTTCTATGTCCGTTCCTGGTGAGTGAATTTTATTCCTTGTAGCAATTAAAAATCTATAGACACACAAAACATTATGTTTCACATTTAATGGAATGTCGGAACTTTAACAATGCTGGACTTCAAACAGGAGCTGAAGTCTGAATACATTAACCAATTTAACAGTATGCTTTTTCAGTGGGGGCAAACTTTTCAAAGGCCTTAAAAAAAGTCAAATTTCCAAGCCTTATTTAAATAATAATGAAAACTACAAAAAAAAATAAATAAGGAATGCAAATTAACAGAATAGAAATTGGTAAGCGCTTCATCAGACCCCCTAGCTGCTCATATCAGAAATCTGAGAGTCAAAATATGGGGAATGCTTGCACTACTATTTTCATGCACAAATTATAATTAACATTAATTTCAAAAATCAATTTCCTTTTGGTCAGAAATGTGTACAAACTGAGCTTTTAAAAGTACAGTAAACTACAAAAAGATTAAATATGCAATTATAAAATATATTTATCCTAGGTCATAAGAATATAAAATGTTTTATGTTCATGTCACTAGTACATTACACATTACACACATTTAAGGATAACTTCTTTGCATTAATAATGTAAATGATAACAACACTGTTTATTGCTTATGTCAGGCAGGGAAGTTAAAACTCAGACAGCCTTCAGTAGCTAAACCTCTGAGAGTTCAGGGTTTAGCTAAGAGATCCGGTAGAACACCATTTTAAAAAGTGTATAAACAGTTGCAGCAAGTTTGTACCTGGTCATATAAACAAAACAAAACAAAAACCAAACTTTGTTGGGGGTAGCAGTTCATTTTCATAAGTACCTGCAGTGGAGAGTCCTGAGATGTTGACATGTGATCAGTTGGTATCACTTCTCTAGTTTGTTTCTAATTATCTGTATCCATTTCAGTTTACTGCTTTAAGTCAGACCTCTAGCTACTAACTTGCAGCAAGATTATCTGCTAAAGCAGACAGGCTTATTTGTTACTTACAAGGAATGTTCTTGAAAATACATTTTCCAGCAATAAGCTCCAACTAAAATCAATGTACCAAACCCAATCTTAGTGAGAATAGGTTTCCAATATAACCACCTTTTTCTTTTTCTTTCAGTCTCATTTAGCTTCTGCTTCATCTGCTGCAGCTTTTGTGCTGTATTAGCTTTTCTATCCTCTCGCAGCCTTTTTCGGACAGTACTTGGGGTGGGGAGGGGAGAAAAAAAAAGAAAAAAAAAAGGAAAATCTTAAATTGTAGAACAGGAAAAATCCCTATTACAATAGTCAAACCAGCCTTCTCTTCCCAACACATTTCCAATAGTTAATCCATCTGTGGCAGTAGCATATAAAATCTAAAGAAGCAATCGCTACTCTGTTTTACCTGAAACTATGCATATCAAGATTAAGTGAAGCCCTATAAAGTTCGTAAACGACATATGTAACAATGTAAGTTGAACTTGACCTATCTGTTCAGAGGACAGAAATGGCTCAATCATCCGACCATAGTGCTCCCCTCTGAGCGCTCCATTCAGTGTCTGCAATTCTTTGCATGGATGCTGCTTGCATACACAGTCTAGGATATTACATACACTTAAATACTACGAATGTTTGCATGTCTCCACTGCACAGTTAACAGCATCCTCACCAGCATGTTAACCCTAATCTACTCATGCTTACACGCAAGTTTTACCCTGCTTGTCTTAGGCTGTAAACTAAATCTTGATCATCAAGACATAAGCTAAAATCACTTGTGTGTTACTACTCTATCAGGGCCTCCTTGCAATTCTTGTCTCCAAGTCTCCTCACAGTCTCTTTAGATAGCATAGCTAATCTGTCCAACAAAAACCCTTTTGAGTCCCAAAGTCCTTGCACACAAACATGACACTCGCATGCATGCTGCCCCTCCTGCTTGCAAGGGGCCCCTTAGTTATCCACAAACGCAATGTCATTCTTTCTCAAAACACACAAGAGCACTCTATACTGAGGCATAAAAGATAAAAACCTCACCAGGGTGTTCAGTATTCTACCCATCTGCTATTTCAGAATTTCTTTCTCCCTATCTGCATTGAACAGCTGCTGCTTGTCTCAGATCGTAACCCTTCGGACCAGATGTCACCTTTTTCCATTCGACGTACAGCTCTGCTCAGTAAGTCCTGGTCTCTGGCTACACAGGCAGACAAAAGTGCCACAGGTGCCGAGTCCAGTGTCCCTTAGGGCATAGCAATTCAGAAAGTTCTTTCCAATAGAGCAGCTCGTACCTTCACTAAACTAAATCCAGGAGTTCACACATTAGTACCTATGACGAGGTTAACTTGACTGAGAAAGACAAATTCACATACCACAACTAACCACAGAAATCTTTCTCTTACCAGTGGTAGATTTAATACAAATGGAGGGTAAAATATGACCTCAGTGATACAATTCCAATCACAAAATAGAAAGTGGTAGGCGATACAAGCTTTGTGCTTCTGAAACATCATATATTCTTCCAACCAGAAGTTATCACTGTATTTAAAAGTCAGTCTGAAATTTTGTTGGGCATTTTTACAACCTAGGACCTCATTTGCGCTGTTCAGAGTTCACAGACTATCTGTAGAAAAATGCTTTCAAGCATGAAGTTTAGCTTCTTCAATTCCAGGCATTTGTTTTTCTTCTACCTTTAAACAATAAAGCTTTATCACAAGATATAACTAAAGTTGCATTAAAAAAAAAAATTAAGACTGTCAAACACCACCTTTCTTTTCCCTCTATTGAAGAAAAATCTTAAACTGAAGTTTCCCTATAATAAGGAAAGGCCTCTCAAAAGTATCTCTCCCTTCTAAATTATTTCTTCATTTTGCCTACCTTTCAATGTTTCCATCTGTGAGATCTTGAACTTTAGTGGACAGGTCAGTATTTATTTTCTCTATTTGATCCGGTTTCTCGAGGCCTATGCTGTTTCCATTGTACTTCTCTGTGGTTAATTTGGTTGGGTGTGGAGGAGACTGCTCAGAACTTGGCGCTTGGTCCTCCTTAGAGAGCTCCTTCCACCTTTTCTGAAAGCAGGGAGAAGATATTTCAAACATTCATAACACCAAATATTATCTCTACCCAAGATACTCTTCCACACAATAGTCACAGCAGTAGATTAAATGAACTATTAGACCAATAAAAAAAAAAACTAGAGAAAGAAATAAGGTTAAGTGAAGATATATCTTCTCCATCCGTAAGCCAAGTGACTAGGAAATTACGGAGCTGGATAACATTAATACAAATACTTAACTTAGTGTTGAAATACTAGACTCTTGCTAGGATGTTCTTCCTTAAGGTTATTCCAGTTCACAAATTAACTTCAGATAATTTCGTCTATCTAGTATATATTCTCACTAAATTCACTGTAATGGATAAATGCACTTTCAAATAATTAGTATAGCATCATAACTGTAGCTAATACTAACTTTGTTCACTACACTAAACCAGTAGGTCAAGAATGAAACACAAACATTTCAGTAGAAGCATGTGTTCTGAAGAGAAAGTCTAGTAAGCTAACATAAAATAACTCATAGATGAATCAAAATCTGCAACGATCCCTACAAATACCAACCAATGCGTCAGTGAAGGCTGTAACAAGCTATATGAATTTTACTGAAGACCCTTTAGGGCGGACTGTTTTCTTAAGTCATACATGAGAGACTAGCACAGCACTAACAAGGATGTTCAAGAAAAAGACGGATAAATTTAAAAAAAATTGTTTTTTTTTTCCCCACAGAATCACAGAATCGTTTAGGTTGGAAGGGACCTCTGGAGATCACCTAGTCCAACCTCCCTGCTCAAGCAAGGTCACCTACGACGTGCTGCCCAGGATTGTGTCCAGATGGCTTTTGAATATCTCCAGGGAAGGAGACTCCACTACCTCTCTGGGCAACCTGTTCCAATGCTCTGTCACCCTCACAGTGAAGAAGTTCTTTCTCAGGTTCAGGTGGAACTACCTGTGGTTCAGTTTCTGCCCATTGCCTCTTGTCCTGTTGCTGGGCACCACGGAGAAGAGGCTGGTCTCATCCTCTTGACACTCCCCCTTCAGATACTTATACACGTTGATGAGATCACCTCTCAATCTTCTCTTCTCCAGGCTGAACAGGCCCAGCTCTTGCAG